TTAAGCCTATTTTTTTAAATAAGGCTACCATCTAGAAGTGAAAGTTTTAAAATTCTAAGGTTAACACAAACTAGATAAAGCTCTTCACTGAAACCACCCTGTGGTTTTGATGTATTTTCTCCACTGACAGTGAAGAGACAAAGAGGAAAGGAAGCAAGAAGACGATCAGGACACTGAGGGTCAGCACAGAGGCTGACCCTAAAAAGTTTCAGAGATGGATTGGAGAGAGGAAAATAACAAATGTAGGACTCAGTCAGTAATGGTTCATATATGTATTGTCTGTGTTGTAGGATTTTCGTATAATGAGATCATCTTCTAGGATGTGATAACCAACTCTAGGTTCATTCCAACTGTTCTGAACAATTTTACAAATGCGGATCATTTTGGCTATCAGTCCTCATCTTCCCAAAGTAAGTAAAAGTCAATCTTTGGCCTGTCCTCATACATTCCATTTTAATGCGAAACTCAGTGTTTGTGTTTATCTTTCTGACAAGTTTTTCTCCAGCAAGATTAGGTACTTCATTTCTAGATTATCCTTTTTTCATGACTGATATTTATCCTCTCTCTCTGTACCCAACAACATCTGTCCATCAGATAATGGACAACCTAGAATTTAGGGAGAGTGGGTGCCTGCTGGGATGACCAAAAATAAGAAGGTATCTTTTAATCAGTGTTTTAGCATCTGAAAGGAGCTTACTAACCTTCAGTAGAATGATTTTGTTTATGGAGTTTTTAAAGTCCTCCCTTAAAATGGAGAAATTATTTGAAGAAATACTTTCTATCTACTTCCACCTCTGTAGCAATTCATTCCACAGAAACAGGAACTGTGAAAAAGCAAAAAAGACCTCACTGAATATTTAAATAGTAGTTTCAAGGTTGAGAAGTAGCATTAAGAAGAAAGGCAGATGAAATGAAGATGGTGTCACTGATTTTTACCTCTGTCTATAGAGAGAAGATTGCTGATGTAAAGTCACTCTGGCCTGTTTAGGACCATCTGTCATGAAGATAAACCTCTGAGGTAAGATTCCCTGGGCTAATAGGTTTACCCTAGTTTTATCATCTAAATAGACCCTCTAGTTTTATTCTAGATCAGCTTCCCAAGGTTCTCTGATCCCTACACCAGTTTGGTGTCCCCAAAAGAAGTAGGGTCTTCCTGAGAGCTGCTTGTGCCAAAGATATCACTACAGCAAGGCTTCAAAACTCTAAATCTAAGAGCTTCTGCTCTAATTGATGGATGTTTAGATTTTTCAAATATTCCTGAGGAGTATACCAAACTCACTGCCATTGAGTCGATTCTAACTCATAGGGACCCCTCATTGGGTTTCCAAGGCTATGAATCTTTGTAGAAGCAGACTGACTCATCTTTCTTCTGATGGGTTCGAACTGCTAACCTTCTGGTTAACAGGCAAATGCCCTATGAAGTACTCGAAAATTCAGTAGAGATGCTTTGGGGAAGAAAGGAATGGCCTACAATATAAAAAGGGCAAAATGAGGCTCTTTGTGATCTTAAAACATTGTTAACAAGTTGAGCAAAATAATATGTAAAAACTTACTGGAGCTAAGTAGTCTTCATAAAACTCATTGAGGTTAATGAGGTGAAAGAGGCTGAAAGGGTTAAGTATCTAAGGTCACAGAGCTGGTAAGTGGAAGAGGTAGGATCTAAACCTAGGTCTGTGGGACGCCAGAGACTGAACTCTGATCCACTTTGTTATATTCAAGGACCTTAAAATTATTTTAAAAGATTCTTTAGGATAAAGAAATCTCCTGGTTATATGCAATAAATCAAAGTTCCTAGGAAACTTTATGATATTCACAATCACTATCAATATTGATGGGAAACGTTTTACTTTTATTTTGCATTATTTTTAGATGCCTTCCCACAGTTCAGATACACAATTAAAAAAAAAAAAAAATCTTTCCTGGAATTTTGTTACCGAGTTTCTCATATGCACATGCACAAAGAGGGCACACACACACACACCACAAACACACAAAAAAATACCACAAATACACACACTACACAGACATACACATACAGATATCACACACTTTACACACAGAGAACATTCACAAATACAGACACACACACATACCCCAGAGATACACACACACACCCCAGAGATATACATACATACCACAGAAACAGAAAGACCATATATATACCTACATATAGACATGTACACACAAATGTACCACACATTCATAGTGAGAAACCACAAATATATAAATACCACACACACACACACCCCACACACCACAGACACAAGTACTACACATAATCCACAAATAAACACACATGGACACCAGATACACACATAAATGCAGATACACACAGAGCCATACACACACGATATCAGTTCTCCAGGGATTGTGTTTCTCCTTCTCTACTCATCCTCCAATATCTGGTTCCTCTCACATTCATCATCTCATTCACATCTCATCTATCTCCTGCTGGAGGTCTCTTTTCTCCATCCCAGTTCCATCCCAAAGAGGAAACATAAGCCCTTTTACTTTGATTCTCTAGCAACCACCAATACAAGACATTTGCTTAATGAGAAGGACCAGTGCGCTATATCAAAACAGAACAAATGAATTAATATAAAATATTAGACATTCCTATCTGAAAGTCCCTTGTGCCAATTTTGCTTCTCAAAACACCTCATTGGCCTTCTTCCTGCTTGAGGGCTCCCAATCACCTGTTGTGTGTTTCCTGTGCCCCCTCTTCTTAAGATTGTCCTCAGTCCTCCTGCCTCTACTCATGGTCCTAGGACCTTTGCACAGGCTCTTCTCAGGTCCCTGCTGTTTCACTCACCACTGCTATCCATTCCACACTCTGCAGACTTCACTTTTTATTCTCAATGCAGACTATTAAAATATTTTCTGAAAAAGAGAACCATTTTATCACTCTCTGAGAAGGCAGAATTAACTTAAGACATTTGTGGCTATAACTAGCAATTATTTAATTTCTTCTCTCTATATAAGGAGCTCTGGTGGTGTAGTGATTAATGCATTTGGCTACTAACCAAAAGATGGATGATTCAAACCCACCAGCTGCTCCACAGAAGAAAGATGAGACAGTCTTCTTCCATAAAAAATACATAAAGATACAGCCTTGGATACCCAATTTGTGTTGCTATGAGTTGGAATAAACTAGATGGCCATGAGTTTGGTTTTTGGGTTTTCTCTCTATGTATTCTTAGGAGCTCTGTAGAGATACTGTCTTGGAAAGCCAAGGAGCGGTTGCTATGAGTCAAATCGACTGAACAGCAGTGAGTTTATATATATTCTTACGAGTTCTTGGCACAAATGGTTAAGCATTCAACTACTAGCCAAAAGGTTGGTGGTTTGAATCCACCTATAGGCACTTCAGAAGACAGGCCTGGTAATCTGATTCCAAAAGGTCACAGCCTTAAAGCTATGGAGTACAGTTCTACTCTGGATGGGGTCACTGTGAGTTGGAATCAACTTGATGGCAACTGACAACAATAATATATTCTTAGACTGTTTTTGCTTACTATGAAAAAAAGGCATCATTAGGAATTTATGTTGATCTATCCAATTTATCAAAAACCAATTTGTTAATGAGTCTGTTATAATAGCTCTTATTTTCCAAACCATTCTCAGGTTTATGTTTTCAATACTATAGGAACCATTACCAATTATAATCAAGAAACTGGATATTCTGGATAATCAAGTATTCTGATTCATGGAGCATAATCAAAAACACTCCACATGAGTTACCAATTTTCAAAGAAGTAACATGAAACAATAGTTCGATTCCTCACCTGTCACAATGAAAGGGGATGTTAAATTTAACTCTTCTAAGCCTCACTTTCTCCTCTGTTTAAATATTTGCCTCACAGGTGTTATAAGAAATAAAAGAGATTGTTTTTATATAAAGCTCTTGACATGTATTTGATAAATGTGAGTTCTTTAACTTCTCTCACTCTCCCCCCCATCCTCAAGTAAGAAAAAACTACTACAATATTCTAGAATATACTTTCTCTTTCGTGGATGATTCTGAAGACACTTGTCAATCTGTACAGTGCCTCTAGGGCTCCCATTATGAATATCAGCTCATACTCTGAAATGCTGCATATTAGGATACTAGATATAGTATTTACTGTATATATTCTTGGGAGCTCTATTGGCGTAGTGCCTAAGACTGGTGGTTCAAACCCACCAGCCACTCCTCAGAAGGAAGGTTGGGCAATCTACTTCTGTAGTGATACTTCCTCTGAAACCCAAGGAGCGGTTGGAATGGACTTGATGGCAGTGAGTTTGTTTATATAGAGAGAGAGAGAAAGAGAGAGTTAGAAGCTCTGGTGGTGCCTGAGACATTTGACTGCTATCAAACGCACCAACAGCTCCACGGAAGGAAGATGGGGCAATCGACTTCCCTAAAGATTTACCCCCTCGGAAACCCAATGGGGGTCGCTATGAGTCAGAATCAACTTGATGGCAGTGAGTTTGGTTTTATTTTTTTATATGTACATTGTTAACTCATATGAGAAATCTAATTATAGCTCCCCCAGATTACTAATTTGCAGCAGTTACTGTTAATTTTGTTATTCAAATTAATCTCATTAACAATATTTACACTGACCGAGTCTTAGTCAAGTAAATTGATTCTACAATGCTTTATTGTTAAAAGTTATGCCTATCAAGACAGAGTTCTGATAATGTCTAAATAGAATATTTTTGGCTACTAAATTAATGACTTAATAATTGTCAAAATATTACAAATTGCATTCCTCTTTTACATTTATTTAATGCCCTTTATATTATTTCCATTTTAGATGCTCAAATTAATCTGAGTTCATCATACCACATAAATGTATGGACCTTACAAAAATAGTATTTGATTTGTGTTATTGTAGAAATATTATGTTTGGCATTGTAAAATACTGTGACTTTGGCTACTGCTATGCAAAAATTGCTATTTTAATCTCTACATTTAACCTTTTTTTTTTTCATTGTTTCTCACCACACAGGAAGTTATGGATCTGACCAACTCCACTAATCACCTGGTCAATGTCTCCACTTTAGTAAGAAACAGCACTCACCTTTCAGCTTCGGCCTCAAAAACCACTGTGATCATTGCCCTTCCTTTGTTCATATCATTTATAATTGGTACCATCACCAATGGCCTCTATCTATGGGTGCTAAAATTCAAAATGAAAAAGACTGTCAATACGCTCTTATTTTTTCATCTCATTCTCTCATATTTTATTTCAACATTGATACTGCCGTTTATGGCCACGTCCTACCTTCAGGACAATCACTGGAACTTTGGAACTGCCATGTGTAAAGTGTTCAATGGCACTTTGTCTCTGGGAATGTTTGCCTCGGTTTTCTTTCTCTCCACCATCAGTCTTGATCGTTATCTTCTCACTCTTCACCCGGTATGGTCACAGCAGCACCGAACCCCACGCCGGGCTTCCACCATCATCCTGGGAGTCTGGATCTCTGCCGCTGTCCTCAGCATGCCCTTTTTGGTTTTCAGGGAGACACATAAAGACCATAAAGGAACAGTGATCTGCCGAAATAACTATGCTATATCTACTAACTGGGAGAGCAAAGAGATTCAAGCATTGAGAAAATGGATCCATGTCTCCTGTTTCATCAGCCGCTTCTTGCTGGGCTTTCTTCTGCCTTTCTTCATCATCATCTTTTGTTATGGGAGAGTAGCCCACAAGATAAAAGAGAGGGGCTTGGTTAAATCTAGCAAGCCCTTCAAAGTCATGATGACTGCCATTATCTCATTCTTTGTGTGTTGGATACCCTACCATGTATTGCAGGGCTTAATTCTCACTAAGAATGAGTCACTACTTTTACAGTTAACTCTGATACTAACAGTGATAACCACTTCCTTCAATACCATCTTTTCTCCCACACTCTACCTATTTATTGGGGAGAACTTCAAAAAAGTTTTCAAGAAGTCCATTCTTGTTCTGTTTGAGTCAACATTCAGTGAAGATTCTTCCACAGAAAGGACACAAAACATAAATTCAGGAGCTGGAATTCAGACTTTGGATACGGTGTCAATTATACCATGAGAGGTGTGGCCTCTGCTTTTTTAAATTAAAAATTCTCTGTAGAGGTACAGACAACAAAGATGAACCCTTTTGCATGTACAGTATGGGTGGATAGATGGGTGGACAGGCTGAATGACCAGGTATATTTAAGCAGAGTGAAGTGTGCCCACGGCCATGTGTAGGGTTGGCCGACGATGTTTCTACTTGCATATTTGTATGTGCTGTAAGAATATTCAGGTGTCTAGTAAAGCTGACAAGGGACAATGTGGTGGCTTCTTGGCCACAGCCACCTACCTTAAGGGAGCAAATAGTTGGACCTATGGGCTCGGGACCATGGTCACAGGGGACATTAAGTTCAATTGGCATAACATACTACACAAAAATATTGTTCCACATCCTACTTTGGTGACTAGTGACTGGGGTCTTAAAAGCTTGCAAGCAGCCATCTAGGTGCAATGATGGGTCTCTTCTCATCCAGAGCAAAGAATGAAGAAAACCAAAGACACATGGAAACAATGAGTCCAAGGGACTAGTGGATCATGTGATCCTCAGCCTATATGACCCTAAGACCAGAACTAGATGGTACCTGGCTACCACTGTCAACCACTCAGAAAGGGATCAGTGCAAGAGACCCTGGATAGAGTGAGAAAATAATGTGGAACAAAACTCAAAATCAAAAAAAAAAAAAAAAAGACCAGGCTTACTGGTCTGATAAAGCCTGGTAAGACCCCCCAAGACTATGGCCCCTAGTTACCCTACAGGTCTGGAACTGAACTCACTCTTGTGGCTTCCAGCCAAACAATAGAGAGGCATATTAGGTGAACATTTACATTAGGAAAATACACTCACAGAAGGGCACTATTTGCACAAGGGGATAGCTTAGGCGGAGAGAGTGTATAGGAGTTCCCTATACCAGAGAAGAGGTAACTATGGGGAGGAAGTGGGAAGAGAGCTGTTACATTGTGGAGAATTGCAGTTAATTTCATGAAACAAAAATGTGTATGATATACTGTATGGAAAATGAATTTGCTCTGTAAACTTTCACCCAAATCACAATAAAAATTGAAAAAAAAATTCCCTGTAATATAGAGACATCTACACTGTACTCTAGTTAGATCTATGAATATTAAACAGAGCTGTAAGAAAGCAAGCAATAGATGATGTTGTAAATGTGATTCTTAACCTTTGATTTATGAAGCTATACTGCTGCCTCATCAGTCCTCTTTTTAATTTATATCAGATCCAAGTGAGAAAGAAGTCTTATTCCCTGTAGGTTCTTTATAATGAGGGGACAATAATTCAAAGCCATCATTTTCCAAGAGTTTTGCTATTGCAAAGATTCAAAATGCTATTGTACCAAGGGACACACATTCTTACTTTGTTAGATCAGATTTGAATATGGCAATAAATGCTTTGAAAAAATATGCACTTTAAACCTAAAAATTTTTTAAAGACATCTTTCTCCAGGCAATTACCAATTAACCCTAAGGGTGGTAGCTATGAAATTCACTTGATCAGAAAAAAAGGCTTGCTAGATTTTTTTAAGAATTAACATTAATTCAGTAGAAGTTGATTCTGCTTTCTTTACTTTACCCCCCAGAAAAAAAAAGTATAAATGTCTTAACTGTGAGAATTTATTAGAAAACATAAAGCCCTTTGAGACATACTTCTTCCCTGGCCAACTACTCTAGAAAGAGAAATCTAAGTGGGTAGAGATAACTATCTTGGTCCACCATCCTTCCTATCTAACAGTCTTGTCATGCTTTTTCCAAAGGAAAAAGGGTGACCCCAGAATGCTGGCATATGAATAGAATAGAGTATGCCTTATGTGCAGAATCTGGCCCAGGGTCTTGGGTGCCCAAGGAGGGAGAAGGGGTTTCTGTTGAGACAAAGGCTACATGACTTAGGAAATATCCTCCCCCAGGAGAGAATCCAAAGTTCTGGCATCCTTGAGGGAAGGTACATGGTGACCTCTGTTAGGTCATTTAATGAAGATCAAAGAGTACAGCCTTCAGTATGGATTACACCTCAACATATTGAAAACAAAAACCCTCATATCTAGACCAATAAGCAACATCATGATAAGCAGAGAAAAGGTTGAAATTGTCGAGGATTTCATTTTACTTGGATCCACAACCAATGCCTATGGAAGCAGCAGTCTAGAAATCAATTGATGTATTGCATTAGGCAAATCTGCTGCAAAAGACTCTTTAAAGTGTTAGAAAGCAAAGGGACCTACAATGACCCAAGCCATGGCATTTTCAATTGCCTCATATGCATATGAAAGCTGAACACATGAATAAGGGAGAACAAACAAGAACTGAAGACTTTGAATTATGGTGTTGGCAAAGAATATTAAAGATACCATGGATTTCCATAAGAAAAAGCAAATCAGGGCAAGGAAAGAGAGTTCCAGAAAGATAGCAGAATAGGCAGAAAGATGCACAGACCCTCTTCAACAAAGAAAAGGGGAACAAATTAACACAAATACAGAATATAATCCTGGACCCCTGAGCTTTGAAGGGAAGAATACAGAAGTAGACAAAACTCCAACTAGCAGAAGAATTTGAATGAAAATACCAAAAAAGGAGATAGACAGAGCTGCGGGCTGGCAGAGATCCTGATGGCACAGACAGATTTCATATTGCTGAGTGGTGGTAGGACCTAAGAATTAACCTAAAAATCAGCCCTGCTAGCCAGGGACTTCATGGAGGACTGCTCTGGTGGCTGGGGAATAAAAGTGGAAGCAGAGAAGAGGAAGATGGGCTGAGCTGTGGACTTTTGCCTATCTGGAGGGCACAGCCATTTTGAATGTTTACAAGCAGCTTGACCATTTTGGATATTTACAGAAATAGAATTCTCCCAGGTTCCAGGAACTTAAGAACAGGCTCCACTTGCTGTGAACTGCAAACACATCCCAGACGCACAGACTACTAGAAAGGTGTGACAATCCCCTTGTTACTCTTATACCCCACACCTGCTTGGTGAACAGAGGTGCGGCAATCCCTCACTCCCATGCACCTTCTAGGCTGAAGGAATGCCATCCCAGTCTCTGTGCTCTGACGGAGCCTGGGTGCCCTGCCCCACCCTGTCCAGATTTTTATTTTCCTTTTTTCTTTTTTTCAGTTTGTTTGTTTTTGTCTGTTTTAAAACAACTACTATTATTATTACTTTTGTCCTTTTTATTATCATTCTTTATTCTTCCCTTCCCAGGTGCTAGTTTTCAGCTTATTTTCTTTTCCTTGTTGCTGGTTCCAATTTTTTTCTCCTTTCTTGTGGGTAAACCCGTTCCTTGTTTTTCTTTCTGCATTTTTCCCAATTTTTTCCTTCACTATTCTATCTCTCTACTTTTATCTCTTATTTCCTTCTCCCCAGATATTGCGGTGTTTTTACTTTTGTATTGTTTTTGTTTTTTTTTCCCCCCTTTTCTCTTTTTTGGTTACTGTTCCAGTGTGATTAAATGGTGTATTTTCTGTCCATTTGCTTTTACTTTTTTGATGGTTATTCAATTGTTATTTTTGTCTAACTGAGTGGGAGACAGCAAAAGTCCCCATATGACATAACTACACCCACACCTCCTGAAATTTCACTTACTGGGTGATAGTCACCACCTCCTTTTCCACCAATGGGCCTATGATAAACAACCACGAAGTAGAGCTTGACTCGCCCTTAGTGGCTCTTCACAAACAGTTAACAGAGATCTAAATACAACAATGTCACAATGTCTCGGAGACAACGGACCATCACAATCCACAAAAGCAAGATAAAGTGGTAGAAACAACGGAACAGGATACAGAACTGGAACACATTCCTGAAGAAGAAACAGCCTTGGAACTTCTTGATAAGGAATTCAAAAGAATTATATTCAGGTATCTTCAAAGGACTGAGAGACAGATCAAGGAAGCACAGACAAATTCCTAGAAGAATTTGGAAGAAAATACAAGAACAAAATGACAAAATAAATGAAAAGTTAGAAATGATTCTAAATCTACAGATAGAAATCCAGAAGATTAATACTAAATTATCAGAAATAGATGACACATTGGAAGGGCAAAGGAGTAGAATTGATGCAATGGAAGACAGAATTAATGAGATTGAAGACAAATACCTGAATATTTCTATGGAAAGGGATCACTCAGAAAAAAGATCAAAACAAAATGAAGAAAGCCTAAGGTTCATGTGGGATACAATCAAAAGGAATAACCTATGTGTCATTGGAATTCCAGAACAAGAAGAGAAAAACAAAACCACTGAGAAAATTGTCCAAGATTTGTTGGAAGAGAACTTCACTGATATGATGAAAGAGGAGAATATATCCATTCAGGAAGTCCAAAGAACCCCAAACAGAATAGACCCCAAAAGACAATCACCAAGGCATATCATCATCAAACTCATCAAAACCAAAGACAAAGACAGAATCCTGAAAGTTACTTACAAAGGACAACCAGTAAGAATAAGCTCTGATTTCTCAGCAGAAACCATGCAAGTGAGAAGGCAATGTTATGGTATATATAAAACCCTGAAAGAGAAAAATTTTCAACCAAGAACTACATACCCGGCAAAATTGTCCCTCAAATATGATGGTGAAATTAGGAGATTTCCAGATTAACAGAAACTAAGGGAACTCAGAAGGAAGGTTGGGAAATCCTACTTCCATAGTGATACTGCCTCGGAAACCCAAGGAGGGGTCGCTATGAGTGGGGTTTGACTTGACGGCACATAACAACAACAACAAGGGAATTTGTTAAAACCAGACCAACCTTACAAGAGATACTAAAGGGAGTCCTTTGAACAGAGAACCAAAAATAGCAAACAACAACCAACTATAAATACACAATATGACATAACCCAGAAACCACAGCTATGGACATATCCAAAATAAAATAAGCTTACAAGATTGTAAACAGGGAACCAGAGACATCCATTGGCAAATGAGGACAACTACAAGCCAAAAAGAGGGAAAATACTGTGTAGTTACAGAATTTCTAAATGGTGAGGAAGTCAAGAGAGTTGCAAGGTAG